AAAAAAAAAAAAAAAAAAGATGAAAAAAGGAGCGGGTATAGTTCAGTGTGAGGGCTGGTATTCAATCCCCAGCAACACCCTGCCCGAAAAAGAAAAATAATCTGGGTCTGGGAAGCGAGGGAGCTAAGCAGAGGTAGGATGAGAAGACTGGCTATTGTCCAGCAGACCCCAGGAGGAAGCTCCACCCAGGGCCAAAGTAACAGGGCCACAGCCAGCTGACCACCCTTACGGACTGTCCCTCCTCACGCCCTGGAACTCGTGGAACTGGCTTCCTCTCGGAACTGGGAGCTTCCTCAGACTCAGGTCACTGCCAGCTCCCGTCCCAGGAACAGCGCTGCCCATTGTCCCATGATCAGGGCCAAGAAATGCAGCTTCGCCCTATGCGGGAGCCTCTGCGGCCATTGGAGGACGGCTCCCCTGGCCCTGAGACTTCACGTCCTCTCAGGCTTTCCAGATGGACGAGGCTGGACACCCGCGGGTGTCAGGAGCCTCCGAAGCTGTGCCCCAGCCCAGCACCGTCCTCTCACCTTTGGGGACGTGCGTCCAGGCTGGGGCGGCCGGCAGCAGATGTGCACAGGGAGATTCCAGGGTCGGTTGGTCCCTGTGCTTGTGTCTTATGGTGCCAGGATGGGGGGTCCCCAGCCTCACTGTGCTCTGCCCTCTTTCTCTAGGTTCCCCGATGGTGACTGTGACCCACAGAAAGAACCCGAGAGGCAGTGTGACCCTGAAGTTTTGGACTTTTAAGCTGTATTCTCGAGGTGCCACCCTGACCTGGCTTCGGGATGGGGACCCTGTGTACCTCGGCACCTTTGGGCCTGGGGTCACCTTGCCCAGTGGCGACGGGACCTACCAGACCTGGATGGCCACTCGTGTCCTTCCTGGAGAGGAACAGAGTTTCACCTGCCTCCTGAGACAACAAGGGGAAAACACCACGACTCCTGTCTTTGGTGAGGAACGGGGGGAGCCCTCAGCTTCGGGGAGCGGGAGCCAGGGTGAGGAAGGGCCTTGGGTGTGATCATCGCTCGTTCCTTGTGGTCTCCAGGGAGTCCAGCCTGGAAGACCGATGAGGCCACCATTGCTGCTTCTCCTCTGCCTCTTGTCACTCTGTGCTCTCCATTGGTTGCCTTGACCAGTGCCTAGAGGGTCAGGAACACAGTATGAGCAGAGCCCAGGTGAGAACGCTGTGGACTGAGAAGGGACCGTCTGCTTTTCTATCTGTGAGGAGAGGAGATACTTCTCTTCTTTCTTCTCCTCTCCCTCCAGAAACAGAACAGGGCTCGACAAGCTTGTTTCTGCCTTCTGAGTCAATCACACCCTGGAGGAGGCTGTGGAGCCAAGGTAGAAACAGAACAGGGCCAGGCAGGGAGTTGGAGGGAACAGGCGTAGGCAAATGATGAACTATTCATGTTGCCGGTCACCTAAGATACCATGGAGCTCACGATGAGTTGAAGAGAAGGGTTTCCTTACGGAAATCTTTGAAATAATCCAAGCAGAAAGGTAGACAACATCAGCACCACTTTGTCACGCTAAGGAGCGAGTCCTA